CCAGGACCTCCTGCTGCTCCATGCTGCAGTGGTTCTCCAGGGACAGGATCACTGGGTACTCTGAGGTCTGGGGAACAACGGGCACAGCTGGAGCTCAGCCCCGGGGGGGTCGGGGAGTTCTCACAAGGGATTTGCCTGGGCCTGAGCTCCAGGATGGAGCCCACCGTGTGTCCTTGTATCCCCCTGACACCTTCATACCTCTCCAATCCCACAGCATGCCCCATGTCCCATCCCACATCCCCTGGGCCCGTCTCACCCCTGCGCCCCCAGCAGACCATGCCTGCGGGAGCCCCTGGCATGGCACAGCGCAGCGCTGTTCTCCGGGAAGGGGCACAGCCACCCCCTCTCGCCCGCAGTGGGGTCAGACCTGCTGCAGCACCACTCCGACCCCCCAGAGACTCATCACTGCCCCAGATCCCAGCCTTGTCCCCCCTGCCCGCTGAGGGCCACCCCGGACAACCAGGGAAGGGTGCCCTACCTTGAAGGCGTACTTCCCCAGGGTGCTCACCACCTCCCGGAAAGGGATCTTGGAGGTGAAAGTGTGGCCGTGGTACACCATGGGCTCCCCGTTCGGCCCGTCCCAGCAATCCACCTCCAGGCACCGGCAGCCCCGTTTCAGAGCCCTGGGGGTGGGGGGTTACCCCTGGGACCTTGCTCCCAGCCAGGGCACCAGCCCCCTGCCCTCCCCTTTGCCTGTGGGGGTCACCCCGCAGGGACCAGGGGACAGCCCCGCAGGGGAAGATGCTGCTGCGTGCAGGGTGGGAAGAGCTGGTCTCGGTGTCCCCAAAAAGGACACCACATCCGGTAGCCACAGGGGTGCTGGGCTATGGAGGAGGCGAAGGAGCTTGTGGGTTTTCCCCACAGAGCAGCCTGGGGCATGGCATTGGAGCAGGAGGGAACGCAGCCGGGACAGGAGGGAGCAGTCCCTTTACCTGATGTAGCCCTCGATGCTGCTCTGGCCCCGGATCTGGTCCTCTATCAGGTAGGTGTTGTGGGAGGAGGAGATGAAGTAGTGGCATGGCTCATGTCCTGCCACAGCGCCCGGTGACGGGGGTTGAAGACGGAGCCCTCCGGGGAGCAGAGGTACATGAGGAACCCATCGGCACTCAGTGCATGTCGAGCACGGGCTGCAGGCAGAGGGGGAGGCTCAGCAGCAGCCGGGGATCCGCAGGGGACAGGATCGCGACAAACGCGGCTGCTGGTGGCTCCTGCCACCCCCAACCTTGGGAAGGTGGGCAGCAGACCCCAAAGCCAGAGCTTGCACCCCATGGCTGGTCAACCTTCTCCGTCAAAATGATCCAGGGATTGACCAAAAAAAGGAGGAACTGCACGCTCTGTGCCCATCTGCAGCAGGATGGGGCTGGGAATGCCCCTGCCATGGGGCTGTGGGTCTCGGCTCCCTCCTTCCCTCCATACGGAGCACAGCCCGTGTCTGGGCTGGCTCTCACCTGTCTCCGACGGCTCGTACTTGTCGATGAGCTCCATGGCCAGCTCCTCCGTGCCCTCGTCCTCCAGCTGCTCCTGCTGCAGGAAATCCACCAGCTCCAGCAGCGTCAGCTTCTTCCCATCCTCGGAGAATTCCTGGAAGAGGTTCAGCACCTCCTCGCGCTGCGTGAGGGCTTTGTAGAAGAGCACGAACTCCTCCCCTTCCAGCGTCCCCGACTCTGACTTGTCAGCAGCCTGAAAGGGAGCTCGCTCAGCACCCACCCGGGGCAGAAGAGGGTGCCCCCAGCTCCCTGTGGGGCCGTGAGGGGATGGCCCCAACCCCAGCGGAGAGCACAGAGACTCCAGGCCAACAGCAGTGGTAGGCATTGATCGGTGGGTGGGTGGACGGATGGATGGACGGACAGCAGAAAATGGGCACATCCTTCTGCAGGGGAGTGTTGTGCCACTTGTTCCAGCCCCCTCCCTAGCCCATTCCGGCCCTCAGGCATCGTGCTTACCTGGAAGAGTCGCATGGCATGATCCTCATTCATGTCCACGTTCATCATCTTGAGGAGGCGCTGCACTTCCTTGAAGTTCATGCGCCCATCCTTATTCTTGTCGGCTTTCTGGAACCAGTCACGGATCCACGTGCGGGAAACCCGGGCGGATGTTAAGGGAAAGGACCTTGGCTAGGAGAGATGGAGCTGGGGAGCATCACAGGGCTTCTTGTCCTTTTTCTGCGGGCTCTCCCTGCCCTGACACAGCCGGTGAGACCCAGAGCTAAGCCCACGCTGGGGCAAGGCAGGAGGTGGGGAAGGACTGGGCGTGGAGGGCAGAGTGGTGCCCGCAGGAAGGATATTGGTCTATCTTCTCCCTTTGGTCCATGCTGGTGGCCACCTCAATGAGCTGGCGCAGGCCCTGGACCCAGCACTGCGCCTCTTCTGCTGAGCCGGCAATGAGGTCCAGGTTACCCCGGCGGCCATAGAAGACGATGGTGAAGCAGCGCTCTGGGGGGAACTCCTCGGCCAGGCTTTGCAGCACCTCCGACTGGTGCCCTTCCCGCACCGTCTCCACATCACTGATGGAGACTGGGGCAGAGGGAGAGGAGGCCTGTCTGTGGGTGATCACGACCGCAGGGCAGGGGCCACTGCCCACAGGGATCTGTCCTTCCAGCCATCCCTCCCTCTTTCCTTCCC